CTTTGATTTTATAATGTTCATGGTTGAACGGCCTTCATTATTCAGTATAACCTCTTTCCGTATCAACGCGGGCACCCAAAAAAAGCCTTGGCGGGCGCCGCGTTGGGGACCACTGTTGTACATTATTTCGCCCTCACATCGTAGTTATCAGAGTGATTATTCTCATATCATATTGATGTCACTGTTATTCGAAGGTCATGACAAAGCGAAGACAAGATCGCCCCAATAGTTTCCCAGATACGGGTCTTTAAAATTCTCAAGGTCATATATTATCATGCTTATATCTGCCAAACGGTAAATAGCTGGTTGACCGTACTCATGTCAAAATGAGGTTAAGGTAAAGGAGAAGGTCTTATGGTAGTCACAACAAGATGGGCCCACTAGTTTCCCAGATATTGGTCTATGAAATTCTCAAGGTCATATATTTTCACACAGTCATCTTTATAAGATTTTGACTAGCTGAGCTACCATAAAGTTATCGAAGATGACTCTGTTCCTTGCAGCGAAGAAAATATCGGCTTGCTTGAAGCTCCTTGCAATTTCTTAAGTTGATCTTCATCGTTAAAAATTTAACTCTTCAGTTCGCTCGATCTGCAGGCTCAACGTCATTTGGCGACCACGATATTTCGCCAGATGGAATTGAAAGTAGTTTTATTGGACAGCAGATGTGCGGAATATCTGTGACGTAATTTGAGTATTTATTTCGAAATTCTTCATACATATATTGGTAAGTTTAAATAGTAGACTAGGCTTCAGGGGTTAATTATATAGAAACTCATTAAAATGTTCCACACACACGTTAAGGCGCTAGGCTAGAAACACTTTATTAGTAACCATGTCTTGACGTTGCGTTCACTGCCCGGTTGTCTTTTCTATCGGTACAGCATCAAAGCCAGTTCCACGCGAGGTACAGGCGTTACAACCTTTAAATATTAAATTTCCCAGCGTAATTATATGCAACACGCAGCAGCGGTGGAATGACTCAGACCGTTTCCTGTCTTCTACATGACAGCTCGTCTCCCTACCGGAAGCAGTGTCCAAATTTCGTATTCAAATTAACTGCCGTAGTGTTGGTATCCCGGGAAACAATGCGAGGACATGTCATTGGCAAGAGAAAAGGAAAATACAGAAGGCATTGATAAAATGGGGAAATTTGTAAATATGAGATGGCACTCGTGTTTGCCTTGGAAACTTTTGTCATAATTCTTAGGCATTGGTAAATAACAAATTCCTTTGTTTCGTTCTTGAGTTTTTTTTAAGTGTCATATTTTTCTTCAACATTGCAATATTTAAATTGAATTATTATTACGATTATTACTATTATTAACAAAGTAATTTAACTATTATTATTATTTAGTATTATTTATTTTATTTAGAATTATTAAATTGAATTATATTACTTAGGTATCGTATTTAGCCCATTTATTTGTGAAATATGATTCAATAAATGAATCTAATTATTATTAATATGGTAGATTTATATATTTAATTTCATTTGTTTGTTTTACTTTTATTATTATTAAAATAAATTAAATACTTATTATATTTTATCCTGTACTCTGGTTTAGTGCTTGGCTGTTGTCAACCACTTAAATAATTGAATTGAATTGAATTGAATTATTATCGTCATCGTTTCCTTCGTGATACCTGATAAGGATTTTTTTTTCAACTGCACCAACTCCTTTTTTTACGAGAATTTGATTAATAGATTTTTACATGAATGCACTTAAGAAATGCATCTTTATCCTTCGGTTTGATTAATGGATTCTCGCTGCAGCGAGGCACGTGCGTGTGTTCCCAGCTCAGTCGGAGAAACCCGCTTCTCCTCTTAAGCCACCTTCCTCAGAATCTTCTGCCACCAACTTCTACCAGTGACTGAATCAGAGCCCAATGATGTCCATTAGCGCTGGTGTTTTGTTTTCTCTTCAGTTGTTTCTCGCTGTAAAGGAGATGGCTCTTTAAACAGGTCTGTTCGTTTTAACCCTTCGAAGACGGGGTTTATCCAAATATTATTTAAGAAATCAGTCCGTACCGCAAAGTAAACACAAGTCTGCATTAAAAAGATCAACTGGTTGATGCTGTTTAAGAAAGTAATCGCGGTTTGATGTTTCATGCAGCCCGACCCAGTTTTCGAAACTCCGACATCACCTGATTCCATCAAGTTTCTGTAATAAATACTGAATTCGACATCCGTAGTTTACGGCGTTGATGGGAAAGGGTAGAATGACTCCAAGGGCGTGTCCTTGTTTCTTGTTTTACCTACCGGGAATTTGCCCGAGAAGACGAAAGGACCCTGACAGGGTACCGGAACTCCCAACCACGATAACAGGGACAGCATGCCCTCAACACGAGAGAGTGCTAACCATGGCGTCACTTGTTCAGTGTTATTATGATTATTCTTATTTAGTGACGCTGCCTTTGGTGGACAGGCAAATTATAAAGGTTAGGTTAGGTTAGGATAGGGTAGGTTAGGTTAAGATAGGTTAGGATAGGTTAGGATAGCTTAGGATAGGATAGGTTAGGTTAGGTTAGGTTAGGTTAGGTTAGGTTAGGTTAGGTTAGGTTAGGTTAGGTTAGGTTAGGTTAGGTTAGGTTAGGTTAGGTTAGGTTAGGTTAGGTTAGGTTAGGTTAGGTTAGGTTAGGTTAGGTTAGGTTAGGTTAGGTTAGGTTAGGTTAGGTTAGGTTGGGATAGGTTAGGTTAGGATAGGTTAGGATAGGATAGGTTAGGTTGGGATAGATTAGGTTAGGTTAGGTTGGGATAGGATAGGTTAGGTTACGTTAGGTTAGGTTAATCTGAAAATTACATTCGACTCTGTCACGAGGCAGTTTAATCGAGTTCAGTTATTACAAACTTTTTGATGTTATTGTGACTATCGTTGTATTTATTTATTTTAGAGACATTAATGGAACGAGTATTTGTGACGGACCTACGTCGAGTCATTATTATTATTATTATATTTGTTTTGTGTTGTGCTGACTCTGTAAACGTAGCTGTTGAGTCAGCACATAAAAGAGAACTGGATTAAATTGAATTATCGCTGTCATATCGTAATTAATATTTCATCCCGCTATTCAATCGTCAGGAGGAAGGTTTATTTATTTTATACGGCGAATTTAAAAAAAAACACTTGATTGCCGTATTTGTCTCGCTTCGTTGCGACCCTCGATCAGAGAGTCATTTGTTATGTAATGAACGAGTGAGATTAAAATGGCGGCTAATAGGAGATTCTCAATTCGAGTGTTCATTCTCTTCTTGTAAAACATTAGTGGCATTAACACATACGTGCGTACTTAACATACGTCTGTATAGGAAGCCCATTGAATTACAAAAGGCAGGTCTTGAAAAACCTCTGTAGAGGGTGACGCAGAGAGGAGTGATTGTGGGTTTTGTGGTTAAAAGCCCCGAGCCACTTCCCATTCTATGCAGTCAAACGCGTAAGAGCAAACGTTCAGTTTAAATCCCTCCATTTTCATGAGTACGCCATTGATAATCTAGGCGCAAAACTGGCTTCTCTTATTACGAATCGGAGACTTGCTAATGTTGACATTGTGATTCTTAAGTGGTTTATTAACGATGCTGTTTCAGTTACGTCGGTTATGTGACGTTGAATGAGGTGGAAAGATTAACATGAATGGTGAACAGGTAAGGATTTGGAAGGGGGTGAATATAACTTAAGAAAACTTGTCCCAGCCAAGATTCGAACAGGGTACGTTCTGAATCCAAGTGTGGAGCCTGACTTCTGCGCTAACCTGTCCAGTGTAGGGGCTGTATACATTTCGTACTTAAACTTAGGTTAAATGTGCTGAGAGGTTGTGAATCTATTTGCGGTTAAACGTCCGGGTTTTAAATCTCGGTTTTATGCTCGAGAAAATTCTGTCAGAAACGATGTATTGACATCTGTCACTCCTTTGTTATTCTTAAAAGGGATTTAATAGCGCGGTTTTTTTTTTAAATTTACGTTTGTGACCTTTTGTTTAACTTCGCGTTATATTATTTATTATGTTTTATTAAATTACGATGTTAGTTACTCAAGACTGCATTACGTCGAATGATGGGATGATTACTGAATTAGAAGTGGAAACAGTCATCACCTAATTTCTAGTACCATTTTGGTATTTGCGTGGATTAACTGAAGAAACCCACGATAAACCTGGGTAGCCGGTCTCCGGACCGAGATTTGAAGCTGGTACCTCATGAATACAAAACAAGTTTGCTAACCACTAGACCCCCTAAGATCGCTACTTTCTATTATTATTATTATTATTATTAAATATAATTAATAATAAATAATATAAATATATTAATAATAAATAAATAAATTGAATTATTATTTATTATTCCATCTATTAACCACTTTATAGGGTATTTACTTCTACGTAACCGAGACAGACCTTGTCCCTAAGGTACATAGGGCAGCAGCTATTTCCGAAATACATTTTGTTTTTTTAATACGTGTTACATATATTATATATTGATAGTTTTATTGTGAGGGATAACTATATATTTTACAACAACTTCTGAATTATGTATGAAGATCCTAAAATGGCAGTTTTCTGAAGTTCTCTGATGTCGTGTTCGCCCGGGATGTTGGCCAAATATTTTCTGAGTGACTTGGAGTTATTATTATTTGTACTGTGTTAAAAATACACTAAGGTAGACTTCAGTTTGTGCTAGGAGTTTGATCTTCGGGTTTAATATCATTCATTTACAAATTGGAACGTCTCTTACGACATGCGGAACGTGAAATGATATTTTAAATGTTTTATATTTTATTATCTTATTAAAATTGTGATTTGACGGAAAATATTAAAATATTAACCTAATTCACAATATGACGCAAATATACTACCTTATCATTCATTTAGTCAAACAGGCATCAGTTAGTTACGTCATTTTTCATATCCTGTAAGCTTGAAACTGTGTGTGCCGAGTGTCTGTATTTTTCTGTTCTCACCAGCTGTGACTCCGTGTGTTTGGTTTTCCTTAACTACAGCATCAGACATACACAGGGACGATCTTGGTAGCCGTGAATCCTTACAAGGAACTGGACATCTACACGTCGGTAAGTGCCCCTGAGTTTTCCTTCTTTATTTAAGATTTAGCGTGAGAACAGTCGAATGTCTACAGCACCTGAAATAGCTGCTCGCGAGGGATGTGTTCGGTCGTCCACGCCATTTCAAATGACCAGTGGACGTCACCAGTGGATCGATAACTTTAAAAGGTCAGTCCTTTGGTGGATTTAGGTCGTTTTATTTAAAAAAAATTACTATTGGGAACACTTAATTTCAATTCTAAAGGGTTTTGACGACGGTAGTTCACACTTAAAATTATTCATTGTCAGGACTTTTTTCCATCATCTGTTCTTTAAAACCACGACGTTTCGGAGGCAGGTTCTGTCTCCGTCTTCAGGTGACAGAGACTAGCTCTATCTAAGGAACCCAACACCTGAAGACGGAGACAGAACCAGCCTCCGAAACGTCGTGGTTTTAAAGAACAGATGATGGAAAAAGTCCTGACAATGAATAATTTTAAGTGGAAACACTTAATTTGCTTGAAGACGATGGCGCTTCTGGTATTGGATTAGCGAACAACAAACTGACAAATTTTTAAAAATGTTGTGACTAATTGATAATTTAATGCAGACTTGAACATCAAAACTGAATGAAGCCACGGTGATTTTTTTATTAATAAATGCGATCATGACAGGCTTTTCGTTTATGATTAAGGGAATGGAAAAATGAAATGCATTTAACTTTGTTTTAAAGGGAGACAATGATTTCTTTGTGATTTTAAACATGTCAAGGATTCGTGATTGAGTAATATATCTGATAGCTGTTAATTGGTTTGTCCTACTTCAAGTGTCAATACAAAATTAAGGAATTTTAATGACGTGACAAGTAACCAGTTTATCTGAACCAGATATACCATTTTAAAAAAATTACGCTGGTATTTGTATTGTAGCAGTAAGAATGTAAAGTCACAGAAGACTGTGTTCAGGTTAATTGCTAAATGATAATTATTCATGATTCCCTGAAGGTTTGTGACAGTTGTTTCATTGTAGAAGTCTTATGTTACACCAATTCTATGTCATTGTCTAAGGTAGACTGTATTTGATACGTACAAGACATTTCAGCTCTACATCAGCCTTAGAAGTGATTGGTTAAAAATATACAGTAAGGTTTGCTCTAGTAATAATCCATTTTCAATTGGTGGCGACTGTTGGAATCGAACCCACGACCTTTGGTCACTAGGGGGAAACTCAGTTGTGTTGAGTTAATCGTATAACAGGATACTGAAAAACTCCTGGTTTCGATTCAAACCGTCGACATTGAAACAATAATTATTACGTAGGCCCTAGAAAATAATTTGTGTTCGTAGCTGAAAGGCAGGAAATTACCGCCTCATTCTTCAGTGTAGAAGTGATTTAAACACGACGCAGAAGATTTTAATCTGAAAATTCAACGGATATAACTCAAAACGAAATTTAATATTAGTAAAACTTCGATGACAACTTTTTCATGTGTTTGGTCTTTGGAGGCAGATACTAAAAAGATTCTTCCAGGCGATAATACGAGGCTCGTCCTCAAAGTAAGTTTCCCTGGGGCCGTTTACAGAAACAAAACACAATTTCATGGAAATATTTATTGCAACAGATACAGCAAGTGTCCAGCTATTTTTCAACATATTCGCCACCGGAAGTGAGACATTTGTCATACCGTGGGACCAACTTTTGAATACCTGGGTCGTAGAAGTCTGCCGCCTGGGATTGGAACCACTGTGTGACAACCATCTCCGCCTCTCTGTCATTCTCAAAACGCTGACGCTGACCGGACAGGAATTTCTTGAGGTGTAGGAAAAGATGGAAATCACTGGGAGCGAGGTCCGGGCTGTAGGGTGGATGATTAAACACCTCCCAGCTGAACTCCTGCAGGAGACTCGCTGTCCGTTGAGCCGTGTGCGGCCTAGCGTTATCACTGACCGCACTTCACAGTCGGCGGGAGCTGGAATAAGAACCTCCCTCTTCAACAGCTGCAACGATGCTACTGTGAGAATGCGGGAAGTGCCGTTAGTGCATGCGCCATGCTACGTCATTGCTCTATCACGTACGCACAGTCGCTTCGCGCAATATAAGGTTTGCTAGCTGTGGGACGAGTGGGAAACTTACTTTTGGGACGCGCCTCGTATTACGAGTCACCTGTCCATTTAAAGCACGACTTAATAATAGACGCTAAGCTAGCTAATCAACTCCGTGAAACATTCTCATTGAGAAGCTAATAGTCGCTCATCTAATCAAGGGACTTCCGGATTTGTTTTTAATCCTAAGGTTAATTATCGCTTTAGCTTACTCATCGCCCTGATGATGGAGGCAGCAAGGACCTCTGAAACGTTGGTAAACTCCTACGATATTACGCAATGCTATTACCTAGAACATAGGCATATTTGGGCTTATCGCCGTGTTTATAACAGCTCGTTACTGGTCCATACCGCTCATTGTTTTGCAATGATATTTCAAATCGCACGGCTTTAACCCTTTGAAGCCGAAGATCGTCTGAATATTATTTATGAATTCAGTCCGTACCGCGAAGAAAACACTACACCTCACCATTACGAAAATCAGCTGGTTAACCCTTTGAAGCCGAAGCTCGTCTTCATAATATTTACGAATCCAGACCGTACCGCGAAGAAAACACTTCACTTAACCATTAGAAGTCGAATCAGGCGGTACCACATAAGATTTAACAAAAGAACATCCCGGTCAAAGCCTTAATATGTGATTTAGCGGGTAGATTTTTATGGTATTACCGCATGTGTGGTTTCGTAACTCGTTGACCGATATGTGATCTTCCACGAACCGAGGAAACCACAAAATTGACACCGGCCGTTCACCTCAAGCCACACCTGTCACACTGGTACGAGTGTTTGCTTCCGAGTTTTATAATACGACACGAGCAGAATCGTATAAAAGATGCTAAAATGTAAACACATACTGTGTGTTAGTTGTATATGTAAAGGTTAACTGCTTTACTGTGAGTTTAGAGTCAGAAGTAAAGCTCCAGCGACCAATATTGCGATGGAATGCTGGGTATTCGGGCTTGTCGTTTAACAACATAATTATTTGTATTGCGTAAGATTTGAGGTCGTTTGAATGGCTGTAGATTGGTTCGAAAAAGCCGTTACTGAACGCCTGTTGGAATTGTGTAGACTGCCCGCTCGACTAAGGAGTCAGAGAAGTTGCCGCGTTATCGTGGCGTTTTTGTTTATGAAAAAAACACTGAGCTTGCAAGCTTCTGATCTCGCTCAGCCGTTGAAGGAAGTTTCGGTGGACATCAAATTATCTACTAGAAGCATGAAACTCACCCCTTCTACCAGGTTTACACATTTAAAAAAAGTCCAGCTTTGCGATAACATAACCTCATCTTTACGATACGACAGCATTAGTGCATTATTCTTATATGCCAAAAAACATTTGCTGAAGACGGAGGCAGTATGACCTCTGAAACTTTGGTAAACGTCGACCAGACTACACAGCGCAACAACCCAGAAGACAGAAATCTTCATA